GGCAAATGAAACTTCCCTCTCCCAGCTACACCAGCCATGGGCTCAGCACAGTTGACCAATACCCCACTGGAAATCTGGCTTTAATGTACTTCTGTATTCTTCCCCTTTGATAAACAAATAAACAAACAATACTGTCCTGTTTGGGAAATCACTATATCTGGGAAGTCTATTTCCAAATACGAACAAAAATTAATTTTCACCAAAGACTGTTATTAAATGGCGCATTGAACATCTCTAGCCAGGGAGCCATAATTTTAGCAAGTACTTTATTAGCATTTTTTTCTTTCTCACCAGGTCATGGACTACTCACAATCTCTCCTCCCTCTTCTCCCTTGCCAAGGGACTGCCACCTCCCTGCACATGCAGCAGCACCACTAAAACATTTTGGCCCATCACTCACAGAAAACCGCAGCATGTCAACCTGTCTGCACCAAGAGATAGTGGTACACATCTTCCCCATTGCTTTAGGAGATGTTTCTTATTTGCTTCTAATTCTAGTTTATTAAAACTCACTGAATTAATTACCTGTGCTGAGCACCTGTCAACTTGCAACAAAATGAATTTTAACAGCCTAATTTATTCGCTCTTTCTTCAAGCTTCTGAAATTAAGTCAACTCTGTTACTCTAACCTCCTCTTCCTCCCATTGCTGTTGTTCTCAGCTCCCCATATTTAATTCTAATTACAAGTGGGGGAAGGGAGATTTTTCTGCCTTCAGAATGTACAATTTCATGAGCTTTAACTGAGCCTCAAGAGTTTAGTTGCCTTGAATATCTAAGTAAGACCATTCATCGCTTTTTAATAAACAATATATTTTTGAAAGCAAGAGCTCACATCAAGTATCAAATTATTTCCTTCTGCCATTTTTGTAAAAGACACCCACTCTGAATGAGGAACTGAAGCACAGCTGAGAAATGTAAAAAACTTCAATTCAAAGCTACTTATTCCAGTTATTAATATTTTTAAAGTAATAATGACAAATTATATAGACAAGATTTATCCATTTTTATGACCTACAAAAAGTAGGTCATAAATGCAAACTCAAAATAATCATTCATCATTATTTTTGGAGCATCTGGTTGTTGTTTGTTTGCTGTGATGTTTTGGGTTTGGTTGGGTTTTTTTGTTTGTTTGTTTGTTTTGTTTGTTTGTTTGGCTTTTAATATAAAAGTGGGTTTTTTAATAGCAGTACGAAAAGATCTTCAGCACAAAGACAAAGAGGGTTAAGTAAGGACACCTGATTTGTCTTCTTGCCCTGAAACAGGTTCTTTTTCCTTCCACAAACTAGTTACCTGTCTCTGGGTTCTGATAAATAGTATAAGAATCAAAGCTACTGGAAAATGAACATGAAGAATGAAATCTGTACTGGTGATAGCAAAATGAATAGGGCTAAAATCCACTCAGCTGGATTATGTCATGAAGTAGAA